ACTTAACAGTCATGTTTTTGGACTGTGGGAGGAAGAAAACCCACACATGCACAGGGAGAACGTGCAAACTCCTGGGCCTTCAGCAGTCCTACACACTGTTACACTGTGTAGCCCGCATACAGAATTAACAGTATTTATTTCAAGGATGTCCCAATCTGATATTGATCTGAATGATCAATCTGATTTTGGGAAAAAATGATATTGCATTATATTGGCCTGAATCTAAAATATCTGTTATTTACTTGCTGATGGAAACACTCTGCTTCTGTTTCTCTAACCTGTTGGTTTATATTACATGGGTCAGTTGTCCTCACACCTTTTCTTATTGATTTTTCTTCGCCGTTTTAATAATATCACTTGATCAAACATTTTCTAAAATTATACAGTACAAAACAGGTAATAAAAGCATGTATGATACATGCTAACATCAAATAGGATCATTATCGGTATCAGTCAAATCTCAAGCTGCAATATCTGTATCATATCGGAAATGAAAAAGCTGTATCGTGACATCCCTAATTTATTTAAAAAATCATATCAAGCTCTTTAGATCAAATTTAAAATTGTGATATAATGACCAAAGGGACTTATTATCTGTCACTATTAGAACAGAGGGCTTTAATGGGTTTACCGGATAAGAAATATTTCCCTCAGAATTCTTTCGATTTACTATTTTTACAATTTTTGCCTCTTGTAGTTTAGATTGACTGCTTTTCTGTTTTTTATAGAAATTGATTTGATTTCCGTTAAAATGATACCAGCTCTGCAGCAGGCAGGATCAATGAGTTTTCCAGGAACAAATATCATCAGAGTAACTGTTTAACCTAGCCGCTAGGTTTCAGTCCAAAGGTATTCATAATGCACCTGCTTGCTGATACAAAAAATATTCAAACTTACAAAAGTCTAATGAAAAGCCTTTTATTTTCTAAATCATTTTACACATTTGTATTTTTACCAGCCACTCAAAGCACTTTCACTCTGAGTTCCATTCACCCAGCAAGTGTTCATACATTTACACACATATCTGTAGCCCATTTCTGGCAGCAAAATCTGTGCTCCTCCCACAGAGCCAAAACAAACCCTCTATACCAGGAGATTAGTGCATGATGGTCCAAAGAAAAAAAGCAAAAACAACTGTTAATCATCATTTTCACATGTTTAATCTGAAACTCCTGATAGAGATTCAGGTTAAACTGAACCACAGTCATCAATGTAAGATCATGTGGGAAAAATTACAACCGCAAAGGATTGTGTGGATGCAGTATCTAGTAGGGAAATCATTTATTTAAAAATAAAAAGCCAGACAAATTCTGAGTGTATTAAATACATTTGGAGCTTGGATGTTTCCCTTTAAATAACTCTAGGGGTACTGATACAATCACCTTTCCCCCCATTAGATCAGGTGAGAAATAAAACTGTTATACCTAAGGTGATGAGGTGAGGACAATGATTTTTTTAAGCCCTATAGTGAATATTCAAATGTTACATTTCTTACATGAGATTGACTTTGAGTGGTTCTTTTTTCTTTTTAATGTTGTGAATTTAAAGTTCCATGTTGATGAATAACACATTTTAGTAACTTAACGAGTCTTGACTGCAGGACAGTCCCATATCTTATTTCCCCTTGACCGTACTGTGGACCATTACTGTCACTAACTTATTGTCTTTCTCTTTTTCTATGTCCCTTTTTCTGTCCTCTAAGCCCCCACCTGATCAGGGAAGGTAACTCCTCGTAATCCGCGCTTTTCTGCTGAAGGCTTCTCAGTATTTTCAGTTGTTATCCAAGGGCATAGGTTTGATCTCCACTTTGGTAGGGACACAATTGGTCTTAAGTTGAATTGGTCTGATGTCATTGGTCCTACTCATTATGCATGCTCCTATTTTTATTTATGCTTGATGTGAGCATCACATACAAATATAGTATACAATACATATACAAATTTTATCAGCACTACACACACAAGATGCTGTTGATCAATGTTTGAAGCATCAGTGGCTCAGAATAATGTAAAATTGGGACAACTTAACACTTTGAAAAGGGTTACATTTGAACTTACCAGTGACTAAGACGGAAGGTGAATATGTGCCTTTTTAACCAAATATAGTCCATATATGTCTGTTGTATGTGTTTTCTTTTAAAGAAATAGAATTGTGCAGAGGTAAACAGAGGTAAAACACTTTTATTATTTTTATTTTATATGCTGATATTCTCTGTATTGTAAAAAAAAACAAAATAACATATTCAAGAGACTGAAAATAGATTTATTGTATTTAGATGAGCACAGGAACTATAAGAGGAACTGACACTGAGCATTTAAATTATTAACTTCAATATACAAGTTATGAGAAATGCTGCAACAAAACTGTATTGTAAATTATAAACATGTTATTCACATAGAATTATTGGTAGGGACAAATAGGTCGGGCCAAAATGTTGGTAGGGACATGTCCCTATGGTCCCTATGCAAACCTACATCCATGGTGTTATCGTTTTCCAATGTTGCCTTGTGCTTACCAGGGTAACATTTAGACCAAAACCATGTTTCTACCAATCTCACGGTTTGCCTGCAGAAACATTTTTGAATGTTTAAAATGTAAACTAATTCATATTAGAATTTGCATCAATGCAAAGTGCCTGGTCAAAATTTCGTTTGTAATTAGGCACCAGATAAATAAACTAAATTCTGAGAGTGTGTTTAAAACATATCATGTCAGGGTTGCTTTTAAAAACCAGCTGACTTCAACGCATTCCCAGACTTCCTATGAAGGACAGCTGCTTATTGATCACACATTGGGTATCACATTACCGACCATGTACAGTACACTCTCAGTCAGATACAGTGGTGCACTGGGGCAGCATTTGTGCTTGCGTGTGTAGGTCTAGACCTGCTTCCATTTGCAGCTGAATTATCAGTCTGCAGCGGCAGCAATGAAATCTAAACCACGCAGTTAGACACAAGGCATTTCTCCAGTCTTTCTCATCCACCTTAATGTGAGTTGCACAGAATATACAGCATGCAGATATCACAAAGCTACTTAGGTCAGCTTCTAACAGAAGCATATACATAGAGATGTTGCAGGCTAGCTGTCTGAGATGAATGTCTAGAGCAGGAAAGCGAGACAGTCTGTCTGGGAACATCCCAACCAACCTTTCTGAATTCCTTCCACACTTTTAAATAGACCAAAGAGTTGACCCCTCACTCATTTGCAGCATTGGATACAATGCAAAGGCACCATGTTGGTTATCTTTTATTTTCAATTTGCAGTCTTAAAGGAACTAAAAAAAGAAAAAGAAAAAAGTATTTTCCTAAACTTAGTATATAAATATATATAGAAGTTAAGCACAAAGTTGTAACACTGAGGTGAGTGTTTTTTTTCACTTGGGTTCTGAGGACTCTAAATAGCAGTAGTAGAAGTGTGTTTGGAGTTGAAAGATTTATGCCCTCGGGAGACATAAATCAGATCAGAGAACATAAAATGGGACACACTTCCCAGCCATTTGTTTCTCACTTTTTTGCCATTAGAGAACATTCTGGTAATTTTGTTGCAGTATGGTTCATGTCAACCTTACCTAACTTACTTTTTTTTTTAAACCATAATTATTTACCATACATGCAGAGAATGTTAGTGTGCAAGCTGGTAATATTTAGGTCTCTGTGCTGTTATCCTCAAGTATTTCACACTTTTTACTACCTTCCACTAAATCGGCTCCTGGTGAGCTGATCTGTTTATGTTATAGACCAAGAAGCTCATGGTAACTCTGGAGGAGCACCAGAAATCCACAGCTCAGTAGAGAGAATATGTTAGCAGGACATTTGTTAGACTTTAACTCTTAAAGTTGAACTTTTATTGAATCGTGCAAGAAAAAACATCACTCTTGAAGATAATCTATACTTTCTTTTCCTTCTTCTTCCCCCCCCGTCATGTTCATTATGGCAACAGAATTAGAATATGAGTGCCGTGCTCTGCCCAACACTTTTGCTTTGCCAAGGGAGGCTTGTCAGGATGAAAAACCTGCCTTGATCATCCAGTACTGCTTTATTATTTATTTGAGATTTATTTTTATCACAGAAGTAAGATTAGTAATGCCAAACATGACAGGTGGACAGGGGAAGAGAAAGAAAAAAGAGAAGAAAGACCAAAAAACTTATACTCAACTGCTGTTTCTGTAGAAGACAAAAATTGTCTGCAAACCTGAGGGAAAACTTGTGGAAGCATTGGAGCCCCCGCTACCGGCCCTGCTCCCCAAAAAAGGGGGCAGAGAGGACCTCAGACCCAGTCCTCCAGCAGCCATCCCAGAGACCAGGAAGACCACTGTGGAGACAACCAGGCCCCCACCCAGAGGGTTACAAAGGAAGCCCCCCAAGAGCATGGGGCTGTGGCCCCATCTGGAGCCATGAGCGACAGCATTCCATCCCCCCCAGGCCCCGATCCCCCAGACACAGGACAAAGGCTGAAGATAATCTATACTAGGCCCCTTTCATAGCTTTTTCAAGATCATCATTTTATTGTTACTTAAAAAATAACAATATTTGGATTAACATGTTCATCCTCTTTAAAATTCTCAATAAAATAAAGTCTGTAGTTATAAAATAATAAAATATGTAATCTATTTCTCCCTATCTGAGAAATGGAACACTCCCAACCCAAATCTTTTTATACATTCAACAAAAATGATACTTGTTTTCCTTTTATATTATGTTACCTAGAACATTGTATTAATATTGACTGTGTAAAATGAATAGTTCAGTGATAGGATTGAGCCCAGAGCTGCGTTAGTCAGCCTGAATATTTGTTAAGCTGCTGCCTCAGCAGAAAATTCCTGGGTTTGTGTCAGATATCCTCCATAGACATTAATGGATCTCTTCTAGCAGGAAAACATACGTTTGTTGGCAAGTCATTTAAACTTGAATTATGGCGCCATCGTGTGGTAGATTTTAGAAATAACATACACTAACGGCTCAGCGGGTTTTTTTTCCGTAGCTCTAGTTCCTAGTGGTGCAGATTTAAAGGTGACACCACGCGGCTGTCGGGTAGGTACATTAGCAAGGTTGGCACACCGAATACCTATGGGGGGGTTTAATTGTGGATTATGGAATAAAGATGTGGACATTTTCTGTCCTATACGTGTATTTTAAAATGTAAAAATATTTAAGGTCTTAAAATATTCCTCAGTTCACTTCAGAACAAATTTTTTCCTTAAATTTTATTAAATGTTAAAAGTTTTCTTTCTATAAGGGATTATTTTCGCACTTTTCTGTCACTTTGTCTACCACCCATATTAGGTTGAGTAAATATTTGACTTTGGCAATAAATTAACATCTAATATTGCTTTTATTTTTATTTTCAACATCAACTTGTTACACAAATAATAGCTGAACACCAATGAGTACAGATATGTTGTGGGAAGATGTGCTCTGACTTTAATTATTGGAAATCAGAGCTGGGTTTGTAATTGTAACAACAACAGAAATATAATAAATAAAATAATTGAACAACACAAGCAAGCAAAAAGAAAATCCCAATAGCAATTTAAATCATTATTAGAGTCTAGACTCTGACTCTCATAATTAAATACTCCCTTCTAATTAAATGGCCGTATTATAATAATGTGTAAAGGAAAGAGAGAACCGTTTCTAACATTTTTTGTCTCCCCAAGTCAACACTTCATTGTCGCCTCTCAGTGCAGGTCCTCAGTGGTGGGACTCTACCAGCTGTGCTCATCTACTGGCTCCATCTGTTGCCTGCCTTTGATCAAAAGATTCTCAGTCTCACTCAGATTGGATGAGGATTCTCTGTGAACATCCTGATTTAGTTTCTTTCCTGAATTTAAGTCTGAACTTTGACTTGACCCTTCTTTTTTTTAACACATGACTACGGTTCCATCTCAACCATTTCACAGTGTTTGCAGCCTCCAATAGGTATTCCTTTAGAATGAGCTTTTATGTACATTCATCTTCCTATCATCACCGACCAGCTTCCCTGCCCCTCAACATGATGCAGACACCACCATGTTTTTCAGTGGGGATTTGTGTGATATTTTTATAGAGCTCTGCGGCTACAATACATATACATTATGCTGAAAAAGAGTCCAAATAAGAGGAAATGTGTTTGTATCACCTGTTTCTACTCATGTCATCAAAGTGAGCAGTGGTGAGGTAGTTGGCGCCGTGTTCATCATCTGGCTGCAGGATGGTCGTCTGCATCCTGAACAGACAGCTCATGAGGAGCAGCAGCTGTTGTGCCCTAATGGTCAGGTAATGAACTTCACACAGCATTTATTGTATTCCTTTCAGTAAAAAAACTTTATATAAAATCAGCAATTCATCATCTTAACCCACATATGTACACAAACCGAATGCTTACTATCAGAGAAGCCAATATATATATGAGGATAAACATATATCCGGGACATGTATGTTCTGTTCTTTGTTTGTTTTGAAGCCCATTAGTAGCTTCCATTTCTCACGAAGCATTAAAACTGTTGCCTTTAAAAAAAAGGGGGAAAAAACAAGCTGCGCTTTGGTGATTTGAAAAACATCCTCCCATGTATCTAGTTTGTGCTTTAAAAAATGAAATTAAATGAATAGTAAATTATTTTAGACAATTTTGACAAACAGCAATAAATGAATCAACCAAATACACACAAAAGAGAGCAGTTAACATCAACTAAATTCAACTGAGCATAAACAGAAACGAAGCCCTCCACCAAATAAATCTGTCTTTATATACAGCCAGATAACTAACATCATTTAATATAAATTATCTGAAAAGGGGTATGAAGAAGTAAAACTTATTTTTCATTACCCCTCTCCCTCTAACTGCACTTCAATTAACTTGTAACCTTCCTGTTAAGTAGAGTCGGTAGCAGTGTTGGGCACATTACTTTGAAAAAGTAATTAGTTATAGTTACTAGTTACTTCTCCCAAAAAGTAACTGGGTTACTAACTGAGTTACTCCACAATAAAAGTAACTAGTTACTAGTAAAAGTAACTATTGCGTTACTTTTGCGTTTCTCGCCCCCGTAACCCTCACCACCCGGCCCCCACCTTCTCACCGTGTGTTTCCAAAGCCAGCTGAATAGAGCGGACGACAAAGACAAGAACCTGCAGAGAGTTTAGCATTTATTGCAACTCAACGTAAATGACATCAGGGGGGAACGCTATGTGAAGTTTTTTAGCAGGGCATTCAGATCTGGTGAAATTAATAACTGGGGATGTCTAATTCTGAAATCCTGTGTGTTTGGGTTGTTATAGATACTGCGACATCTATCTATCCATCTATCTATCTAGATCTATACTCTGCGTGTGACATAAAATATGGATCTCCATCCCTGCCACAAAGGCCATCAAATAATGTTTAAAATAAAAAATTTAGTAGGTTGAAAAGGCAGAGTATCCATCCATCCATCCATCCATCCATCCATCCATCCATCCATCCATCCATCCATCCATCCATCCATCCATCCATCCATCCATCCATCCATCCATCCATCCATCCATCCATCCATCCATCCATCCATATTTCTCCCTTTCTCCATATAGGCTATCATTTCTGGCTGACGTCAGGTTAATCATTTGATCGTTCACGCTCTCCATAGTTCTCCTGTGGCACGAGCACAGGGCGACTGTTGCGCGCCTTTAGCGAGCATGCGCGTTTCCTGTCGCTTGCGCGGTGAATCGTGCCGCCTGCGCTGTGCGGAGATGCAGAGGAAAAAGTATGTGATGGGGAAACGCAGCTCCATGTAACACCGGTATTTCCATCAGGAAAACGCTGTTTTGCTGCTGGATCCTCCTCACTCTCCATCTCTCTGTGTGTGCTGTACGTTAACACCCGCCAGCAGAAACACCCACCTACCCAACTGACAGACGGAATCTGACTATACGTCAGCCATTCCCATCCTCCCCTCTCTCATGACAAGGCGCGCACCTCTGGATGACCTAAAAAATAATCTTTAATATCTCTTAAACAAAAGTAGCACAAACAATATTTTTTTTCTGCACAAATCTGCTCTAACGTTGCACTAACCATTCAGTCTATTTGCAGAGTTTTTTGACGTGGGTGGGGTGTCAGCTTCACGCAGCTGCGCACGAGTCCTATCATGAAAAAAGGTTCATTGTGCGACCTGAGTAACGCGCAGTAACGGGGTGTCTGCAATGGTAACTGCGTTATAGTTACAGTCAAAGTAATTAGTTAGGTTACTCGTTACTAAAACAAGGTAACGGCGTTAGTAACGCCGTTACTTTCAACGCCGTTAGTCCCATCACTGGTCGGTAGGTTCCTGGTAGGAGAAATAAGAGAAGCTGCTCTGTCTTTACAGGCTGCAGAGACAGAGCCGTGGTTGTATTCACTCCAGCATCCATGGCTTCCATCATGAAGAGATCAGAGAGAAGCTGCGGGCCTTCCCTGGAGGCTCCGTCGATCTGCTGAAGCAGGACTCCGGTATCGCCGTGCTGACTGTCAACAACCCCGCTCGAATGAACGCTTTCTCTGGTACGACCTCTGGATGTTCTGTTGGAGATGATAGTTTTGGAGTCCAGGCTGGTGTTTTAAGTTTATTCCCCTCCTGTCAGGCAGCATGATGGTGGATCTGGAGGACAGGGTGAGCCAGTTGGAGAGCTGGACAGAAGGTAAAGGCCTTATTGTTCAGGGGGCTGCCGGGACATTCTGCTCTGGATCCGACCTTAACGCTGTCCGAGCGATATCCAACCCCGAGGTATTGCTTCATCGCTCTCCATTAATGGCTGCTCTGTTTGGCCGTCTAAATTAACACTTTCTTTCCTCGTAGGATGGGATGAAAATGTGTATGTTCATGCAGGATGCTCTCACAAGACTACTCAGGTAAACCCTCAAGATTTCCTCTTAGTTCTTCTGTAAACTAAAAAATGAATCCATTAGCATATTTTACTAAGCAAAAGTATTTATAATAATCTTAAAGTTTCTTCACATTTTGTCACATTAAGACAATCAGCCCTCAGATTAGGCCCATTTTACTCCAAGTCTCATTCAAATGCTGCACATAACCCTGTGGCATAAACTCCTTGAATACCCAATTAAAAAGGGTTTTAAATGATAACATGTAAAAATGTTCAAGGGGAATAATTAGTTTTAGCCACAATAACCTTGTGTTCTCCTCGGCAGGCTGCCTCTGATCTCCGTAGCTCTGGTTGAAGGGAGAGCTCTGGGAGGAGGAGCTGAACTCACCACTGCCTGTGATTTTAGGTAATGGAGTCACACCTTATTTCAAACATATGTTTTTATTTAGAGTTAAATTAATATAGATAAATAACAAACATACAAACTGATTAGATATGACAGATTGAATTTTTATGTTCTTAAAGTTCATATCCCCGAAGAGATTTCTTTAGGTTTTTTTTTGTTTTTTGGTCACAAATATATTTGAATGGTATGAAGGATAAATGTTTAATGTAGTTAAATTAATTAAAATTACCTGCATGGAATGTTTAACAGTTATTCAACAACATCTAGTGCAGACTTTAACTAGATATAGTTAGAAACTGTAAAGCTAACTTTTGATCCACAGCTGGTGTGTTTTTCTGGGTAACCCAACGACCTCTGAGCTGAAGGTCACAAACTGATGGCTGGACCTTTTCCTTATTATAATAACCTTTTTTTTTTGGTAGAGAGTCTCTTTACAAAAGATATAATACAAAACAAATTTATGACAAATGAACTATGATTTGCACTGGAATAAAAACGGCAACTGATAGATGCCTTTGATTTTATTTTGTATTTTAACAGTTTTATTTAATTGATATTTTAACAATTGTTGCACTTTAAGCTTCATTCATATAGATTTAGAATAGCTTTTTTTTCTACTAGACCTGAAGATTACATTAGTGAACACTTTTTTCTCAATCTAAAACACAGAAGATTTAGTTTGTTTTTCTTTGACGTGTTCTCTGATAACCTATCTAACCAAACCTAACCTATTGACTATCATCTCTTTCTAACAGATTAATGACCTCTGGCAGTGTGATCCAGTTTGTCCATAAACACATGGGTCTGGTACCAGGCTGGGGCGGCGCTGCACGACTCGTCCGCATTGTTGGAAGCCAGAACGCTCTGAAGCTGCTAGGCGGTGCTTTGAAGGTGGACTCTGAACTGGGCCTGGACATTGGACTGGCAGATGGAGCCCTGGAGGCTGACCAGGGTGCGGACAGTCCCCGGCAGCAGGCGGAAAACTGGCTCAGTCGCTACACTGAAGGACCGGTCCCTGTGATTCGGGCGGTGAAGAAAGTAGTGCTGGCGGGAAGAGAGCTCCCGCTGTCTGAGGCTCTGAAGACAGAGAAGGAGGTGTTTGGAACAGTATGGGGCGCTCCGGCTAATCTTCAAGCCCTGGCCAGCAAGTCCAAACATAAATAACTCATAAAATCTGTTTAGATAAGATAGATCAGCTGAGATGTGCGCTGTCCTGGGTTAGAGGTGGTGAGATTATTCAGAGGGGACGATCCGACTGCAGGGCAGCAGCTAATTGTTTGGATTGAAACCAGTTTTGGTACTTTATTTACAAGTAAAAACAACCAACAAAGTCTTTTCTTTGTTATCTGTATTTTCTGGTGCCTAGGTTTCATTTATGTACCCTCCTCACACATAGATAAAAAAATTAATTAGACATTTCATAATCTAGAATTTATGATTGATATTCGTCTGACATCACATCCTTCCTTCTGCATGTGTTTGAGCAGCGCCATTTTTAACTTTCAGGGATTCTGTTGGATCGGTGCTGAACGCATCGACTTGATTTCTACTAGTCAGATTGCAGAACACTGAACGAGCCAAACTGAACCTAACTTCGAGGTTATGAAGCTCTGATACATCAGAGCCATGTTGGAGTAACAACTGTAGCTGGAAACCAGGAGAGGTTAAGATAAAGGAGAGCAGTAGATTAGCATTTGCTATTAGCATATAACTTAGAGACACTCATGAGTTTATCAATTAGAGTGTAAAAAACAAATATCATGAAATCTGATTGTTAGTCTTTGTGTGGTTCTAAGGAAAGCTTTGTTCAGGTTAGACATGAGGATAAGTTTGGACTTATTTCATTTAGAGTAAGAAGAGCTTAAAGGTCAATCAGATTCCAGCTTTGATGAGCAGAGGACCCATTTGGGTCTGACACCTTTAATCTCCTCAGAACCAGCGTGTTTCTGTTCCAGAAAGCCACAACAGCTTCTGATGGTCTAAGGCATCCCTGATCCGGAAAGGCTTTTGGTTTGTGTTGTTTTTTGGTTCCTCACATCGACTTTAAGTCCAACAGCAACACCAGGAAGTTTGCTCAGTCATTGAGGCAAATGCGATAAAACTTAGTGGAGCTTTTATATTAAACATTATGCTTTTCTACAACTGAATCATACAAAAGGTAATCTGACTTTTAAATTTCCCTCAGGCTTTCTTTTTTTAATTTAAGACAAATTTGCATTTTATGTTAGTTATGCATCATTTTAAATGTTCAGGGAGCTCTATACGGGAGATTATTCACTAAAGAATATGACGAAAATGTTCTTAAAGCCATTTATCATTAAGATACAAGCTTGGCATATTTTCATCATCAGGAGAAGCATAAGAGTTTATTTTTAGACTCAGTCTAAACCTTGTGCGAGTTTCTTGTTCAAGGCAGTAAAATCCTGACTGTTGCAATTGCTACTGGAAGATGGACCACTTTAGATACTTGAGAAATGATCACAAAATCTAGATTTTAAGCATGATGAAATGAAAAACTTTATTCTTAAATTACAAACCATGTAACAAAAGGCTAAAGCCAAAAAACAAAATGCACAAAACTTTATTCTTTAGAATGGAAAATCCAAAAACAAGCAGATTATTCATAGAAAAATAACATCACTTGAAGTTTCTCCAAGATGGCCATCAGCAGGAGCTAACCCATCATCATTTTAACTGCCAAAGGCAATGCAAACCAAAAAAAAAAAAAAACACCACTTGTTTGCATCCTCCCATCCACACAGTAGTGTTTAAATAAAAGGACTTTCAAATAAGGACAGATCACAATAACTCACACTTGAGAACCGTTCAGTCAGAGATTAGCAACAGCAAGAAGCTGCTTTAAAGTAAAAAGACTATTTCACATTAAAAAGCCAATTCCTTAAGGCTGGGCAGAAATAAAATCGATCACACATAGACTTCTATGCTTACATTCAGTTCAAATCCTGTTATTTACTCGAGTTTTAATAAATCTAATCTGAAGTAAAATCCAAAGCAAGCAGCCACACATTCAGTGGCTCCTAATTAAGCATGTTGGTAAATATTCAGCTTCTTTGAACTTCCATCTTGTTTGTTTTTCTTTATGTAGGTAAAATATATTGGATATATCCTTAAAAAAAAAAAAAAAAAAAAAAAAACAGCTCTGTTACCTGTGAGCATTTGAAATGATCCCAGAGGTATTAGTTAATTCAAGGGTTAGAAACCTCGATCAGGTTATTAATCAAATTCAGGACAAATGGGAGGAAATTTCTGTTAGCTAAGAAACTTTTAGATGATCAAAATAAAACCATTCATTAAAATGATAATTTCATTTCTACTAGGACTCTTATTTTTACTGAGTTTAAAGTCCGAGCCATTAAATGTTTAGATCTGGGAAGAACGGGTTGAAAAAGTTCACAGTGTCGCTTTGTTTAACTTAAAAAGAATAACAATCTAGATGCATTTAAATTAAAGTACACAGACATCTGAAACCACAGGAAGTCCTATAAACGTTTCTCACATGATGTGGAAGATATAAACGTCTGAGTTTGAATAGATCCCAACCTATCAGAACTAAAACACTCCGATCGAGAGCATGATGGCGAACTGCTGGCAGCCTGAGGCCGCCTTTGAAGACGGGCTGAAAACGAATCCTAATCCTTCCAAATTAAGAGCCAGACATTAAAAATGAAATGCAGTGTTGTTTGAACATGAGCGCGCCATGCCTCGTTCCTCTGGTACCAAACAAGCCTCCCACCTCAGATCTGGGTCTGAGCAAACGGCATAAATTGATCTGAACGGGTTCACACTTCAGTCACTGTACACTGACCGTCAGGCATCCTGGACCTCCCACTGCTATGGGAAGACGGAGGGGGAGAGGCGGAATCTGCGCGAGGAGGCCCCCTGTCCTCTGGAGTCTGTCTTCGTCTCTGCGGCCAGTCCTCCCAGGCCTCTGCATGATCGCCGTCCCCTCCCTCCTCTTCCTCTTCGTCATCGCTCCAGTCTCCAGAACCGGATTCTTCCACAGAGGTGTGGGGGTCAGAGGACCTGGAGGGTGAGGTCTCTTCCTCGTCATCATCTTGCCCCTCTCCTTCCCCACCCTCAGACCTGTCGTGGGAAGGGATGGACCTGGGGCTGATTTGCAGCTGGGAAAGACTGTCCTCCACAGAGGGGCTTGTACTGGGGCCGGGCTGACCCCCGAGGGAAGTTGGGGGCCGGGCAGTAGCTGAGGGGGCTGAAACCACAAAGGGAGCTCCAGCAGCCTGTGGCTGCGCCGCTCCTGTTGAGGTATCGGCCCCATCTGCAGAGTTTTCTCGACCTGTTGAGCCCAGAGCCCCGGCAACAGAATCCGTGTCCAATCGTAGTCCGGCCACCCCCTTCTTGGGAATATCTATAACGTCTCTTTTCATCTTGCGCCTGCGGCCATGCTCGTTGCGCCTATACTGCACCATGTTCTCCAAGTCGGCTACATACAAAAAGCCAGCGATCAGCATTTCCGCCGTCTTCTTCCCCTTGGAGAAAGCGTCCTCCAGCTCACGACTGGTCCTCTCGTCATACTGCCACCAACCGTTACGGCCTTCGTAGTACCAGGCGTGATCGCTCGCCGCCCCGCCACGCCCTCCCGCCGACGCCTTCAGCTCCTCTGGAGAGAGGAGCGTAGGCCTTTCCAGGAAGTCGTCTGGGACTTCCTGTCTGCAGAGAGCGCAGCGCTTGCTCTGCCATGACGCCCCCTTAACACACAGGAAGCAGAAGACATGGTGGCACGGCAGCTGGACCGGGTGGACGCAGCTTTGCAGACAGATGGCGCACTCTGGGACAGACAGGGCAGGGGATGAGCTGCTGGAGTCCGAGCAGGAGGATTCGGCGCTGCTCCCACTCCCACCTGCACCACTGCTGCTGCCTTTCTTACTGGATGGAAGAGAGCTCACAGAGTGGTCGACCTCCCCACAGCTAGCCATCCTGATCGAGTCCTGTAGTAAAGGACACATTGTTGAGTTTTCCTCACTGTATAAAATGAGGAGTCATCCAGTCAGCTGAGTGTTTGAGGTTTTAAATTCCATCACATCCGCTTCTATTAATAGTCATCTGGATGTACTAAAATTCAAAATTTCAAAAAAACTAAAAACACATTTTAATATTCAAGGGTTTAGCAAACAATTACTTTGGGCAATCCTATCTGGATCGATCTTATTTAATCAGTCAGAGTGTTTCTCAAAGTCTAATAGTTGAAAGCTTTCTCAGATTAGATACAGAATCGGGGCTACCATCAATGTTCTCACCACATATTTGCCTTTAAAAAACTGATCTGGGCTTTAAATAGACCATTCTAAAATGCTTTGATCTAAACACTGAGCTGTTGCTCTGGGTGTGACCTCAGTGTTGTCTTGTTGGATGGTTAACCTCTGGATGCTTTAGCAGAAACTGGGAGGGTTACTCCTCATCAATGACATTCAATTTTAGTTTGTAGTTCACCGTTCCTGGTGGGTAGAGATCCAACACACTCTTTCTATATTTGGATCACTGATTTGATTCTTGAAGAAGTTAAAAAGCGATGCCCCGATATGAAAATGCAGGCAGATATCCATATGAAAATTACAGCTATATCCTATAACATTTCTCTACAGTGCTGACATCTCTGCTTAAGTTAAACATCCCCAATCCTGATGTGCATCACAGTCATGGTCACATTACCAAACACACCACAAGACCAATCCTCTCCTGAAACAAAAACAGCAAATACATGGAACTAAACCGCACCTGTCAATATGTGCCTGGTTTTACTGATGATCAGTACTGTTATGCTTAAATATGACCAGTACTGGGTGATACAACAAACCTGTAAACATGACAAATGAATTAATTCTTTACTAGTTGTTGCACTAGTTCTTATTTCAGTGATTTTGATTAATGGGGCTATTTTTACAGTCTTATTTGTGAAAAAGAAAAAAATGTATATCCACATATCTATTTCTGTCCCCTGCACTATTACGCACTACAACAAGAAATAAACAATACTACCCTTCAGTTCACCTTTGGCATATAAATGTTATTATATAGCACTTACATATGTTATTAAAACACTTACCTAGAGTTGTCAATGCAGTTGGATCATCAGGGGAAACTCTGGACCTTCAAACCACCCACTGTGGAAAGAAGTCAGATAAATCTTGAAGCAGATTGGACACAGGTACGCAATGTTATAGAGATTTATTATCAGCCAAACAGGAAAGAATTGCTTCGGAGTATTAAAAATGAAGCTATGAAAAGTTCACTGTTATTTATTTAGCTCTAAATGCCTGGGGAGAGGGTTGGTTTGGGGGACTGTCCCACTTTTTAGCAAATATGTCCTTATGAAAAGGTTTGTTGTGACATATTTAACGTTGCACTGCAGATAATTAGTGTATCGCTCACAAATAAGAGCTGCGCACATAGTTATATGTTGTGTTTAACCTAAGAGGTTTAAACAGAAGTGCCATTTTTAACCCAGTTATTAAAAAGCTTTTATAAATAGTAAAGCCAGCTGTAGTTAGCTAGAACTATCTGAGCAAAGCGTTCAGCCTCCAGTAAATAGACGGATCTCATTTGACGGAGCTAGCTTGTTTCAGGAGGGCGACATAAACATGACAAAATCCCCATAACGATTAAATACTCACCATATCTTTAAATCTATTTCTACTGGCCTTCTTCACGCTCGCAAAATAGTGGTACAAGAGCCGTGTGAGAAAACACAAATATATCGACTTCCAATGTTAACAGGCTTTGTTTTCCTCTCAAAGAGGAGCTGAGATAAAGGAGGCGACGTTACAGTGCGTCTTTACGTCAGAGGACGTCACATCCAGATGGTCCAATCACAAGCGACGTGAGGAGGAATTACATTTAGATGAATTAAATTGAATTAAATGTTTTTTTTTCAGCTTTTTTTTTTTTTATATATATATATATTTATCCAAAATTAGGAGAAAACTTTACACTGAGAAAAATAAATAAGTAAATTAGCATTTACAATTTTCCTTTTCTTTAAATAAATTACAGGCTTATGCCGCATTAAAGCTTGTCTCTTAAAAAAAGGTTTTAGACCAGACTTCACACATAGATGCTGTTGTAAAAAGGAGTAAGCTCAATTAAATGTGCATTTAAATACAGGACACCTTGATGTGTATTTATGCAAACAAATGAGGAAGGTATGTTTATGTGTTAGGATGGACCAGCTAAAGTCCAGACTTTAATCTGTGGCAAGCCTTGATAACTGATGCTCACAGAGGCTCTTTGTCCATTATTGACAGAGTTTGAACCATTTTGCAAAGGAGAATAGATGAGACTGCTTGAAACTATGTAACCTTTTGTTTCCATTTTACATGTATGTATTACTTTCTCTGTCAACATTAAGGGCATAAGTGTTGAGCTCATGCAGTCCCATCAAAGCAGTTAATCCGACCCTTGAGACTAAAAAATACATTCCACGTTATGGAATACAGGCATATGCTCTTTTAAAGATAAAAAAGTGAGTATGACACTGCTGTCATGGGTATATAGCCACTATGTATGTAAGATGCTGTATGAGGAAACTATTTATCATTTATATCTCTCTCTGTGGCTATTTAGGTCCTACATGACATTTGAAAAGGACCTTAGCTGAGTTATTTTTTTATATTAAGGAAGTAAAAAGGGTTAGCTTTAGCACTTCTGCTATTTGTTCCTAAGAAACATCAGCTTCTCAGAAGTATAAAACCTAAATATCTGAAGCATAAATTACGTTTCTTTGCCCTGCACTTAATACCATTCAAATACCCATGAACCCTAAACTAGCATAACTGTTCTTCCTGAAAAAGAAAGCAGCATAATGCTGCCACCACCATGTTTCACTGGGACGGTGTGCTTAGAGTGATATGTTCGGCCTAAGGGTACATGGTCTTAAAACCTGAAATGTGTCCTGTCTACTAACTCTCACTCCTGCAGCTCTGTCAAAGTTACCATGTTTACCAGCATTACCATTACAAAACTTGATCCTTTCTCTGTGTTTCATGTTTTCTACAGCTGAAAGGGTAACCTCCACTTCTTTGACCTTTAAAACACTGACCAAAGTCTGTCAAGTGTTTTTTCCCAGCCTTAACAGGGCCATTTTTGCCACATTTTGCCCAAAACATGGGCCTTCCTTTGTTTTGTTAAATATCTGCTCTCTTAAATGAAAATGATCAGTTTTATTCTGATCCACTTTATCCCAGAGGTTTGCAAAGGACACATTTTATAACTTTGTGCTCATAGGAGCGGGAACTCACTGAACCAGATCATTAAAAGGAGTGGTCATCTCAATGGGGATTCACAACCCTGTTTACAATCACTGTTCACCAGACCGGTGCATTGCCTGGCTATCTCCATCTCCACCAGGGATTTCAATCCCCTGGCGAGTGAGTTCCTGCAGCTTCTTTGTGGATGGAGATTCAGTGTCCCGAGAGTTAAGGTTGAGTGTTTAAGGTTTATTCAAATGTTGAGATGCCCCTCTTGAAGAAATACCGAGGGTAAAAGAATACAAAGGAAGAATAAAACAGACAAAAATACTATAAAATACACATAAATACTTAAAAAAGTAATAAATAAATAAAGTTGAAGATTATAACTGACAATAAATAAATAAGCTAATTATTACAAATGTGAATAAACAAAGAAGCTAATTAAAAGAGATATATACATTTATGTCTCCCTGTATAATTTAATTTCTTCCTACATTTATTTGTTTATTGTATTTTTTGAGGCAATTAATAGTATGCTTATTTATTTATTGAGCTTTTATTTATTTCTGTATTTATTTTTAAATATGGCAGGGTTGGTCCTACATCCCTTTCCAGACTGGAGACACAAATGTACATACAGGTTTCAATAAAGTTACCTTGAACCGTATGACAATGGTTGATCTGATTTTAATTAGAGGTAACAAATTAGAAGGGACTTGACAGTTACAGTAACTGCATTTTTTTTTTTTAAGAGTGCTACCACTTCACAGTTAAGCTCTAATTGTTTATTGGTATTTCACTTAATAGTCCATCAAAAATATTTAGCCTATCTGATTTATACTTTAATGGGGAAAAATGTGAAAAAGTTGTTTTCCGGGGTAATGTGTGAGCGGTCAGTTCGCCCTCCTGAACACTAGGTGACAGTAATGCTTCACTGATGACGACCTTCTTCCAACAACACCAAGGAGAAGAACCCTGAGCGGTCCTGTTCACTCGCTGCTAGAGGACGTTGGTGTCACAGAGGAAAGGGGCTCGTCGACTATTTTTGTTTTTTTTACCAAACTAAACACAAAGAAGAACCGAAAGAAAGATGTTTTCCCGTGCAGTGAGACCCACCCTCAGCCTGGCCCGGAGCCTTTCCACCTCCTCGCAGAACCACGCCAAGGTGGCGGTGCTAGGCGCCTCTGGAGGTATAGGCCAGCCGCTGTCCCTGCTCCTGAAGAACAGCCCGTTGGTGAGCCAGCTCTCCCTCTATGATATCGCTCACACGCCCGGGGTGGCCGCCGACCTCAGCCACATCGAAACCAGAGCCCAGGTGAGCGGCTACATCGGCCCTGACCAGCTGGACGCCGCTCTGCAGGGCTGTGAGGTGGTGGTTATCCCCGCCGGCGTGCCGAGGAAACCCGGTATGACCCGGGACGACCTGTTCAACACCAACGCCACCATTGTAGCTAACCTGGCGGACGCCTGCGCACGCAACTGCCCCGAGGCCATGATCTGCATCATCGCTAACCCCGTCAACTCCACCATCCCGATCACCGCGGAGGTAATGAAGAAGCACGGCGTGTACAACCCCAACAGGGTGTTCGGGGTCACCACCTTGGACATTGTCAGGGCCAACACCTTCGTGGCGGAGCTGAAAGGCCTGGATCCGGCTCGGGTCAACGTTCCTGTGATTGGCGGTCACGCTGGGAAGACCATCATCCCCCTGATCTCCCAGTGCACCCCTAAGGTGGAGTTCCCTGCCGACCAGCTGACCGCCCTCACCGAGCGGATCCAGGAAGCCGGCACAGAGGTGGTCAAAGCCAAGGCTGGAGCGGGTTCCGCCACCCTGTCCATGGCTTACGCAGGTGCTCGCTTCACCTTTTCCGTCCTGGACGCCATGAACGGGAAGGAGGGCGTGGTTGAGTGCGCCTTCGTCAGGTCCGAGGAGACGGAGTGCAAGTACTTCTCCACCCCCCTGCTGCTGGGAAAGAACGGCATTGAGAAGAACCTGGGCCTGGGCAAGCTGTCTGCGTTTGAGGAGAAGCTGGTAGCCAGTGCCATCGGTGAGCTGAAGGCCTCCATCAAGAAAGGAGAGGACTTTGCAGCCAACATGAAGTAAAGTGCAGCTGCTTGGGGTCAAGAAATAACACCGGTGATGGATATTCGGTCTTAAAATGCATCAGACTATCTAAACATCCATCAGTGTTTCCTCTCTTTTTCTGTTGGCAGTAGGGTCATTTTGTTTTGACTTTATTTTTGTTTTTCCCCCTTTATCGACCACAGCTTTGTCATGTGTGTATAATTCATGCCCATTCTCTACTGTAATGTGATAATTATATTTTTGCAAATCTGAATGCATTCTGACTTTTCTGCTGTGAACAAGGAGGGATGCTGTCATACCTGCTGATGCTTAAACGGTTGTTGTTACTGAAGAGCAAAATATTCACTCCACCAATAAACCGATGAACTTTAAAATGCTTCTTTTCCCTCATCTATCTTTAACAATGAAGGTTTAAAAAAATGTCACCGATCAGTGAGACTGCTTAGGCTACTCTTTGCAGGGCTTCTTTTAGAAGATTCCAAATAAAACCACCACAAAGGTCATCTGTAGTCATATCTAAGTATTTTGAAACTTGCTGCTATTTAACACCCAGTGTGTCAGTGGCTGTACCCCATTGCTTCAATACTTTGAAATATTAAGGCAAATACTTTCTTGAAATGACTCTGTGTTAATAAGGGAGTATGGCATTGGTGGCCTTTATTCACAGTAATAAAACAGCAGAAGGGCAGATTAAAAAGGGTGGAAGAAAGGGAAAACATCCCCAAGTTGGAAGTCACCCTGGACATGTGTTTAAATGACCTGATCGAAGTAAATTATCAAGGTCAAATGAGCTAGTTATTATGGAAACAACTGCTTTGATGCACTATTGCTCTCCTAAACTTAAAAAATAGTCATAAAAAAAAGTAAAAAAAACAATAAAACCCCTAATGTCACATATTTAGTTACTGAAATGTATTCTAAATACACATGTATAAAAATACTACGCTGTTAGACTTTGATCAGGTTAATGCTCTGTACCTGATCATTAAACATTGGTAGGTTATAAAGCTCTTTATGGTCCCAATAAATAACGCAGCACCATGTTTGTTTCTTCATAACCGACAATAGACCTACAAGCAGGACTCTCTATCAGTTATTAGCTGTTTGTGGAGCTAAATAATAATAAAAATCAGACTTAGAAACCAGTATAGGTTTATTTTACATACAGTTTTTGGTTTTGTTCGATGAGCTTTACTCGGAGCATCCATTTACAACAAAAAAAGAGGAGGGTGGGGGTAGTGGTCTTGAAGATCTATGACTTTCATGTAAATACATGTACATAGTTGACATGTACATTTTTCAGTTTTGGACACAGCACTCTGTTTTCCATACATCTGTCTGCTAGTGAGAACTCAAACTCACAGCTTTATTTACAAAATTTGTACCGGATAGAGAGATCTACACGAGTACAACAACAACAATAAACTGTCCTACAGAAGTATTCCCACGCCTTGAACTAAGTCACATTTTGTCACATTACATCCACAAATGAGCCGATATTTTATTAG